GATGGAAGGACAAACAAATGGAGATAGCCGTCAAGGGACGGAAAGAGAAAATGGGCACAAAGCTTCCATTAGGACTAAAACATAGACTTCCAAGTCTTTTTGAAAGAAGTGCTAACTGAAGCTCCGGGGGTGAATCAGCTCACCATGGAAAACAGAATGCAAAGAAAAGAAAGAGAGAAAAAAAGGCAGCATCTTGGAGCGTACCTATAGTTAATAGGAGGAAAAAGGGCAAGGAGTCAGCATAGAGATCTAGAAGAAATTCAGAAGGATCTCTGCAGCAACACTGAAGTCAAAGGAATCTTTCTTGTTTGTGTCCCTGAGTAGGTGTCTGTGATGACTGCTTTGTAAAACAGTACAGATTATAAATAAAAAAGTCCGTGGGCAGCAACAGAAAAACAACACATACGTTTTCAGTGCTACTGGGTCTGTCTGGCCCTGCCCACCATTGGTTTGGGGAGCAACTTAGTTCAGACCGGAGAACACCCACATGAAACTCCTCTCGATGGTAACACGACATGTCTTCCACCTCTTCACACTGACTTCTCTCTTCGCCTCCTCTCTCCTCCAAACATAGGTTGGAGATTACACCCTCTCTGTATCAAAACAGCACATCTGAAATCATCTCATGGCACCCACATTCTTTTACTTGCCCCATAGTCTTCCAAATTTTGTAAGGTGAATGTGGCCTCTCCAACTCTTATCCTGCATTATTGCTGTTGTTATTAACATATATATATATACATACATATATATATATATATATATATATATATATTTTTTTTACCATATCTACACCTCAAAATTTCTCTCTTCTAGTTGTTTTTGCTCTGTTGGCTAGACCACAGAGCTCCTTGAGAGTAAGCGGGTGGGGGAAGGGGCATTATTGCAATTCATTGAATCTCTTTGGTAATACTTTCCTTATCTCTGCCCTAGGCCTACTACTGACCAGTAGGAATTGCTTAGCTGCCCAAGTGACAGTTAGCACTAGAGACTACTGACTTTTGACCTTGAAGGCCACAGAAGATGGTAAATCCATTAAAAACTTAGTCATCACACTATAAATATTCTGAATGACCATTATTTTTACCTTTCTGTGAATCAAATGTACTAAAGATGACCTTTCTCAGGCCAACTACTCTACTTTACTCAAAAATTATGACACGTATCATGCATATATGTGACATATATTCATTCTCATTCACAGAAGAGTGTATAAGATGTACAGTTTATTTAAAGAATAATTATAAAACAAATACCCAGTTTCAGAAACAGAACATTGTCAGCCCCTCAGAAGCTCTCCCTGGTCATATCCCATTTCTCTTTTCTTAATAGTTTTGCTATTTAATGTATGTATCCTTAACAGGAGAGTTGAGTTTTGCATTTCTGAACCTTATGTAAGTGGAAACACATAGTATCTATTCTTTGATTGACTTGCTGCTTTCACTCAATACTGAGACTCATCATATTATTATAAATGGTTATAGTTTATATAGTTTATATAGTTTATATGGTTATAGTTGTTGTTCATTTTCATTGGTGCATTATACTTCACCTTATGACATCATAATTTATCCATTCTATTGTTGATATAAGTTTGGACTGTATGTTGTTTTTAGCTATTACAAACTTGCACATATACAAGAGATTCTGAATAGAATTGCTGAGTGACAGCAAATGTGTATCTTCAACTTTACTAAAGTCACAGTTTTCCAAAGTGACTGTGTCAATTTATACTACCATTAGAGTATCTCTTGTTGCGGAGCATGGACTCTAGGTGCGTGGGCTTCAGTAGTTGTAGTTGTGGCTCACGGGCTCTAGCGCACAGGCTCAGTAGTTGTGGCGCACAGGCTTAGTTGTTCGGTGGCATGTGGGATCTTTCTGGACCGGGGATCAAACCCATGTCCTCTAGATTGGCAGGTGGATTCTTAACCACTGCGCCACCAGGGAAGCCTGATGTAGGTGTTTTTTATATATTCTGGGTACTAATTCCTTGTTATATGCTTTGCAAACTTCTTCTCCCATATTGTGACTCTTCCACTTACTTTATGGTGTTATTTGGTAAACAAAAGTCCTTAATTTTAATGTAGTTGAATTTATTGATCTTTTCCTTTATGGCTAAAAAAAAAATTATTCTCAATCCTAAAGTCATAAAATCATTCTTCCATACAGGTCCACAAAATTTATCTGAAATACTTGGAGACAGATGTGTTCTGGAATACAGACTTTTTTGGATATTGGAAAGGTACCATGGAACGTACAATGTATACTGTGTAGCAAGAACTGGGACAGTACCTATAATCAAAAATATCAGTATTTCTACAGCAAAACATATAGTCAACTAAGTGATATATAAATAACGACTATCGTGGCACTAAGTTACATTTTTCAACAAATGAGTTCCAAAGAGTTTGATGTTTCAAGGTTTGGGGATTTTGTAATTAGTACAAAAGTTATGGTAGCCTCATACAATAAAAATGGAATTATTTCAAAGTTTGAAGGAACTTACCAGTGGAACCATTGACCTGGAATTTATGTGTGAACCTTCATTACTACTGATTCAAATTTTTAATGGTTTGGGACTATTCATATTTTCTTCTCTTTAGTCAGCTAGTTGTATTTCTTGAGATTTGTATAATCATCTACATTTTATTTGCATCAAATTGTTTACAAGATGTTGTGTTTTGATTTCTAAAGTATAGTTTTTGTTATTGACATAGGTTGTTAACATCTCTCTTTTTATTGCTCAATACTGTTAAATATTTGTCAATTTTTTTAGTCTTTTCCAAAAAAAAAAATCAACTTCTGGATTTTTACAATCTCCTCTGTGCAGTGGTGTGCTAGTTAATTAGCTCTGAACATAACGAAACAAAACACTACCAGAAGAGGTGTGCACAGTTGGCTCTCCTGAGCCAGTACAAGGCAGTGTCTGGCACACCACTACTTTCATTTCCCCTTTCATTCATTTCTGCTTTCAGCATTATGTCCCTCCTTCCACTTTCCTTAATTTTGCTCTCCTTTTTCTAACTTCTTGAAAGGGAATGTTTAGTTAAAGACCTTTCAGCCTCTTTTCTAATGTACTTACTTAAGGCTATAAACGTCCCTCTACGTATTATACATTAACTTTATTCCACAGGTGTTGCTATTGTATTTTATTATTCAGCTCAAAAAATTTTCTCATTACCATTATGACTCTTTGGCTGTGGGTTACGTGGACTTGTTTTTATAGTTCTTTATTGATTTCTAGCTTAACAGCACTGTGCTCAAAAAACACGTGCTGAATGATTTCAATCTTTAAAATTCGTTGAGAGTTGCTTTACAGCTAAGTATGCAGTTGATTTTGGTAATATGTCATGTTTGCGTTTCAAAACACATGTTCTGATTTTGGTTGTGTTTTTCTGTGTATATTCATTAGGTCAAGTTTGTACATCATGTTATTCAAATTTTCTATACCCTTACTGATTTTCCTTTTGTTTGTCTTAACAATGACTGGGAAAGGCCTGTTAAAATCACCCACTATGGCCATATATTTTTTCTTTATAATTTCATCGATTCCCTTTATATATTTTATATATATATATTTATTATTAAGTGCATAAAAATTTTTAACTTTAAATATATTTTTTTCAACTCATAAGTCATTCAAGACTCCTTCCATCCTTTTTGTATCTCATTAGTCATACTTAAAAGATACTATCTTTATATAAACTGCCCTTGATAGACACAGTATAAAATAATTGGTGGCCCTGGTAAAGCCAAAGCAATCCACTTATTAGACTCCATTAACTATTACAGAAATCCTTCCCATATTGTAGAACACATGTTTGGTGGTACTTAGGCTTCACACAGCCAACCTGAAAATCTGCGTATGTTTATTTGTAAAGGATTAAATGCCAGCACTGAGTGCAGAGCTGTAAACTGCTTGTGAGTTTTATAAGCACTTAGAATTCAACAGGACTAGATGATGGCGCAGATGGGATCTTTAAGAGACCTGGACGACTGACCTGTATCTACAAACGTGCTTTCAAATAAAGATTCTGCTGACATATTCACTAAAATATTAAAAAGAGCATCTTTCAAAATATCTGGAGCAGCGCTTTTCATTCCTTTTGAAAAACACCTCGGCGTTTAGGGAGTAAAAAAAGCCACAAGTAAGATTAAAACAATAATACAGATATTAACTTTACCCACTCTCCTGACCAATTTGTATTACCTCCGGCAACTTTCAGATCCAAGCCCAAAGATCTTAGCTGTAAACTCTAATCAGGCTCACATTTTAATCCCACGAACTATCAGATCTCAGCCGACTGGAACGTGGCTTTCATATTCTTTCACTAGATGTCTCCCCATACCAACTAAAAGGATCTTGTCCATCTACAGAGGAAAGCCGCAAGGGTTCAAGCAAGGGAAAGGTGATAATGTTGGTAAATGTAACAGGATCAAATTTGAATCAGGAAACTGGGAGCTTGGTGCCCTGGGTTCTCAGCTCAGTCACTTATTTGCCATGTGTCCTGGGGTGTCACCCGCCTCTTTCTGGGATCGCTTCTTTCTTTTTTTCCCTTTAATTTAAAAAGCGAGGAGTTAAGCCTTCACGGCCCTTTAACGCTTCGTCCCGCTCTCATCTCAGGTGCCAACTTCCACACAAAGCCGCCGTTTCCGGCAGGGCTCGCACGTTAAGCTTTCCGAACGGCGCTTGGCGAGATATATGCAGAAATTTAGATTCATGAAAGAAGCACAGTTCGTTAAAATCACGAAAAACTGCAGGGAGAGAGGCACCGAGACGTTAACGAAGCCAAGACCGCTCTGAGGAGTGCCCGGATCCCACCCACTTCCCACCCCCACAGCCCCAGGACCCGCCTCCCTCGCCCGAGCAGGCCCGGAAGTCACTGCGACAGGTAAGAGAACGGAACAGGAAGTCCCGCCCTCCTGGAACAGCGAACGGTAGCCCGTAAGGTTCATTCCAAGGCCAGCGCGTTCGCCGCGTGAATTGTTTCCTTGAGGGGGCGGGGTTCTACGACGCTTGAGCTCCAGCGGGCGAGGCGGCAGTGCGCCGCCAGTCTTCGGCATCGCGTCCTTCTTTCTCGGTTGTTGGGCTGCGTGCCTCTCCTCCAGTCGGCGCCGAAGGGAGCCTGGTTCTGGGCGGCCGGAGAGGTGGGCTTGCTGGCGGGGCTGGCGGGGCTGGCGGGGCTGACGGGGCTGGCGGGGCGGGCCGGGGAGGGTATGGACCCCGGAGGTCGCTGACTTTCTGCGAGCCTCGGGCTCCTCTTCTGCAAGACGCAGCAGCACTCCGTGTCCTGCCTGGTGATTTTGCCCTCGTGCATTTATTTGTATAGCACTTTGGTTCGAACAGCAATCTCGTAAAATGGGCACCGCTCCCCTGTTTTACCGAAGGGGAAACAGGCTCGAGAGAATAAGTGAAGTGTCTTAAGTGGCAGACCGTGTGAGAGCCGTAATTCTAACTCCGGCTTTCTTTTTTTTTTTTTTTTTTTTTGCGGTACGCGGGCCTCTCACAGCTGTGGCCTCTCCCGTTGCGGAGCGCAGGCTCCGGACGCGCAGGCTCAGCGGCCATGGCTCACGGGCCCAGCCGCTCCGCGGCAAGTGGGATCTTCCCGGACCGGGGAACGAACCTGCGTCCCCTGCATCGGCAGGCGGACTCTCAACCACTGCGCCCCCAGGGAAGCCCCTAACTCCGGCTTTCTGAGACCAAGCTGCCACTCCAGCAATGGAGCAAATTACCTGGTGTAAGGGATAAGCGTCAAAAGCGAGTGCTCTTACGATACCGTTAATATAATAGAACTGATTGGTTTTAGTCACATCATTAAAAAGCGGAGGCATAACTTTAAAAAAAGAGGGGTTTGGAGGGAACAACAGTATTTTTTCTTTGGCTTACCTAATTGCAAGTTCCTTGCTAATATCACGTGTTTTGGTTGGCAGCTTGAGCCCACTAGGAATGGCAGCCCCATCTATGAAAGAAAGGCAGGCTTGCTGGGGAGCCCGGGATGAGTACTGGAAGTGTTTAGATGAGAACACAGAGGACGCTTCTCGGTGCAAGAAGTTAAGAAGCTCATTTGAATCAAGCTGTCCCCAACAGTGGGTAAGTCACACTGGGACGTGTTTCTGTTTGCTGTCAAAATACATAGAGCTTACGATGAGTGGTGGGCTATGAAATGAGGCACCGTTTGAGGCATGTCAAATGAGCGGTTTCTGTGAGCAGCAGAGAAAACCTTGTCTCGTAATCCAGGCTTGTTTTATGTACATAGCAGGCACACCTTTGGAAAATGTCACCTGACACTTTAAAGATGATTGAAAAGCAAAACATATGCACACTAACCAAAAAATTCCAGCCTTCTAAATTGGTAGATTTCTCCTGGATCTTCTGAGGGGATAGTATTTACTCTTGGGCAAGAGTTGGCAAATTCATTGGCCTAGAGCTGCTATCAGAAATAAAGCATTCCCAGTTGCCTGCCCCAAATCATATGGTCATATACCCAAAATGCAAATACAAAGGAGTTTAGAAAGTGGAAGAAACTAAATGATCATATGGTGGATTCTGCCACCAGCTGCTCCAAGTGCCTCGCCGACACGGGCTCTTGCTCTGTATTGCCAGTCCTTAGAATGGGAGGGGTTGGAAAAGGGAACTAACATCACTGGGCTCAGTAAGTGCCCCGGTGTGAGTGCCTGATGCTCCTTCATCAGTACCCTTTGAGATGGGTGGTGTTGCCGTCAATTTCCAGAGGAGGCGACTGAAGCCCAGAGCATTGAAATAACTTGCTTTTTCACTATTGGGGCTGGAGAATGGGATGCTCGGAATTGAGATTACGGCAGGGCTGTGTTTGTTGGTAAGGACGAGGCCTAGGCTTTGATCCTGGCAGTAAGGTAGGTTGGAGGACAAGATCATTGAAGAAAGAGGCCAAGGACCTGAGAGGCCAGGGTCTGGCAGTATCAACCACTTGGATACTGAACCACCCAAGAGTTATGACATGAACATTGTTAGAGAAACTGACAGTAACCTACAAAGTTATAGATTACGCCAACAAAGAAGGGAGCAGTAGAGCAAAGCAATCAGAATAACTGCTGCCGCATCTGACAGTGACAGCTGTGCTCCCAGGGAAAACCGTTTTCATCTGCAGACTATTCTTAGTCTGTAACTGAGCTCCCTTTCCCAACCTGCGCCCTCAGCCCTTTGCTCCCTTTTCACCTGTGCTCTCTACTCAGGAGTCGTACCCCGTGGCCATAGAATAAAAGCAAACGATATTTACAGAGATTTGTGTGAGAAGGTGGGGAAGGAGACAGAGGGAGAAGTGATGGGAGTATTCTCTGAGTGCATTCTGTGTGAGAAATTGTGTTTTCATTAGCTTTAATTATCATTCAGTCTTGTGAGGTACTCTTGTATCTCTTTTATGTAATAGAAACTAAGGCTCAGAAGGGTGAAATGATTTGTTCAAGATCGGCTAACCAGCAAAGTAGTAGAGAGGGGATTTGAAAGTAGGTCTCTCTGATTGCACAGTTTGGATTCTTTTACTTAGCTGAAGCCACAGCCAGAGAATAAAGGTAAAAATAAAACCACCAAATAGAGATTCACAATGAATACTTCTATGATAAAACACTAAAAATAAAAATTTCTTACATAATAAATATTCCATAAAACTGTGCTGTCACAAAACCAGATTACTCTTCTCTGCCCCTTTGCTTATCCCTTTTATAGCGCTCATCAGTCGGCCTTGCATAATGGCCTGATTTAAAGCCTCCTATTGGTTCGTAGCTTAGGAAGAAGCAGGGATCATATCTGTCATTGTAACATCATCCAACACAGTCTTCCACAAATAGAGCAACCGGACAGCCAAGATACTTGATCCTAACATCAATTTCAGATACTGTCTTTTCCCTGTGAACCTTTGAAATGTCTCAGAAATTCCAGTATTTTGGCATTCATGCTACTATCCTGCATCTCATCTAATGGCTTAGAGGACACTAGCATTATACATACACAGTGCTTCTCAAGAATTGCTTGTTGGTTTATTAGCCTTTTGGACATTAGCCTCTTCGAGGTGCCACATGTCGAGGGTCCTCAGCTGTTAACTGAATGGAAAAGACTATGGAGCAGAGCTTTTCAAGCAGAGAGTACGGTGTATGCAAAGGCATGGAAGCAAGACGCATGAGAAATCAGCACATTCAGGAAATGGGGTATCTCTGGACAGGTAGCATTTCAGGGACTGGTGGTAAACCCAGAAGATAGACAGATGGACAGAGATTAAGCCATGAATGACCTGATTTGTCTTACTGAGGAGTTTGGATGTTGACCTTGAAGGCAATAGGGATACCTTGAAAGACCTTTAAACAAGCAGTGCCGTGATCAAATTGGAATTTCAAAAAGATTATTCTGGGCAGTGGTGTGATGGATGGATGAAGGAGGGTAGAGAAACCAGTTAAAGAGCTATTAAAACAATCCAAGTAAGGAATGATGTAGGCTTGTACTGTCGCGATCAAGAGGGGGAAAGAGATCGGAGCATTTGGGTGGACGGTGACGCGGTCACTGAAATAGGTGACAGGGGGAGAAACATGTCTGGAGAGGAGCTGAGTTCTGGACAAGTTGGGACTGAAGTATAAGTAGGACCACTAAATGGCATTGTCATTTAGGCAGTTGGAGATGTGACAAGAGATGCAAAGATCTATTGATTTGCCACAAAAACGTTAAGAGCATTCTCCACTTCTTCATCTGGTGCCCTTTACATATAACACCCGTCCCAGCTCAGTCAGCCTAAGGACACCAGGGGTGTGGAGTCTGACAGTGAGATTTATTAACGTGCTCTAACCAGGGAGCCCCACGCACTGGAGCTGCTGTGGGCGTTTCACCAGCCAAGGGAAAGGAGCTATCAGAGGGTTTGGGGAAGGGTGGAGCTTAGGTGAAACTGAAATGAAGTGGTGCTCTGATGGGCTCAGAGCAAAGCAGGGCTGTGTATAAGCAGATCGTCAACTCTGGACTGAGAAGTGGACCCAGGGTCTTATTTTCCACAAAGAAAAATGCTTCCATGTCGTCAGGCTCAGAAATCCTTATGTGAAGTCCTGCACCTGAGTTGGAAATCAAGACTGCTTCTTTTCGTCAAAGTGCCTATCAGATCCCCCCCAGGCAAAAGTGGGGTGTTTCATTCTTACCGAAAAAACTTCAAAGAGCAAATTTCTGATAGTTTGATTTTAGAGAACAGAGTTTCTTGGTGAATAAGAAAGCAGTAGGGACTTCCCTGGTGGCGCAGTGGTTAAGAATCCACCTGCCAATGCAGGGGACACAGGTTCCAGCCCTGGTCCGGGAAGATCCCACATGCCGCGGACCAACTAAGCCCGTGTGCCACAACTACTGAGCCTGCGCTCTAGAGTCCACAAGCCACAACTACTGAGCCTGCGTGCCGCAGCTCCTAAAGCCCGCACGCCTAGAGCCTGTGCTCCACAACAAGAGAAGTCACCGCAATGAGAAGCCCGTGCACCGCAACGAAGAGTAGCCCCTGCTCGCTGCAGCTAGAGAAAGCCCGCGCGCAGCAACGAAGACCCAACACGGCCCCCCCCCCCCAAAAAAGCATTACTCACTCAAAGGGGTCTCTTAGGACAGTGGCTGTGGTGTGTCCTACAGAGGAATGTTAACTTTGTAGCTGGCTTTATCTGAGTCTCTTATCCCAGCTTGAGACAGGGCAGGCACAGTTTTACATTCTTAACTCAGGCTCTACTGAAATATTTAAGAATTAAATCCTAAGAAAAGCTTTTCTGTTCTGACAGTGAAAACGTGTGTGGTATCATGCCTTTGTCTTGTCTGCAAAGCAGCTCAGGTGCAGATGCTGTGGGGATTTGGTGGTTGGCCTTGATTTTCTACTTCTGTGATTTTACTGTTTCAGGATATAGGGCCTTAAGATACTCCAAATTCCCTATGGAAAGAGGAGGATGTAAATAGAAATAATAAAATGAAATATTTAGTGTATTAAAGTTTTACAATCAGTTTACTTATTCACAGTTCATGAATATAATTTTTAACTATGTGTCTATCTCCTTAAAGGTATGTTCCAGATAAGATAAACTTAATACAAATATGATTGCTGGTGAATTGAAAAACTTGTTGAACTTACAGTGGACAGGAAAAACTTGTACAATGTCTTTAAATCATGAAGTCTTTTTTTTTTCTTAACATCTTTATTGGAGTATAATTGCTTTACAACGGTGTGTTAGTTTCTGCTTTACAGCAAAATGAATCAGTTATATATATACATATGTTTCCATATCTCTTCCCGCTTGCGTCTCCCTCCCTCCCACCCTCCCTATCCCACCCCTCCAGGCGATCACAAAGCACCGAGCTTATCTCCCTGTGCTATGCCGCTGCTTCCCACTAGCTCTCTGCCTTACCTTTGGTAGCACATATATATCCATGCCTCTCTCTCGCTTGGTCACAGCTTACCCTTCCCCCTCCCCATATCCTCAAGTCCATTCTCTAGTAGGTCTGTGTCTTTATTCCTGTCTTACCCCTAGGTTCTTCATGACATTTTTTTCCTTAAATTCCATATATATGTGTTAGCGTACGGAATTTGTCTCTCTCTTTCTGACTTATTTCACTCTGTATGACAGACTCTAGGTCTATCCACCTCATGACAAATAGCTCAATTTCATTACTATTTATGGCTGAGTAATATTCCATTGTATATATGTGCCACATCTTCTTTATCCATTCATCCGATGATGGGCACTTAGGTTGTTTCCATCTCCGGGCTATTGTAAATAGAGCTGCAATAAACATTTTGATACACGACTCTTTTTGAATTTTGGTTTTCTCAGGGTATATGCCCAGTAGGGGGATTGCTGGGTCATATGGTAGTTCTATTTGTAGTTTCTTAAGGAACCTCATACTGTTCTCCATAGTGGCTTTATCAATTTACATTCCCACCAACAGTGCAAGAGGGTTCCCTTTTCTCCACACCCTCTCCAGCATTTATTGTTTCTAGATTTTTTGACGACGGCCATTCTGATTCGTGTGAGATAATATCTCATTGTAGTTTTGATTTGCATTTCTCTAATGATTAGTGATGTTGCGCATTCTTTCATGTGTTTGTTGGCAGTCTGTATATCTTCTTTGGAGAAATGTCTATTTAGGTCTTCTGCCCATTTTTGGATTGGGTTGTTTGTTTTTTTGTTATTGAGCTGCATGAGCTGCTTGTAAATTCTGGAAATTAACCACTTCTCAGTAGCTTCATTTGCAAATATTTTCTCCTATTCTGAGGGTTGTCTTTTGGTCTTGTTTATGGTTTCCTTTGCTGTGCAAAAGCTTTGAAGTTTCATTAGGTCCCATTTGTTTATTTTTGTTTTTATTGCCATTACTCTCGGAGGTGGGTCAGAAAGGATCTTGCTGTGATTTATGTCATAGAGTGTCCTGCCTATGTTTTCCTGTAAGAGTTTGATAGTTTCTGGCCTTAAATTTAGGCCTTTAATCCATTTTGAGCTTATTTTTGTGTATGGTGTTAGGGAGTGACCTAATTTCATACTTAAACATGTACCTGTCGAGTTTTCCCAACACCACTTATTGAAGAGGCTGTCCTTTCTCCAGTGTACATTCTGCCACCTTTATCAAAGATAAGATGACCATATGTGCGTGGGTTTATCTCTGGGCTTTCTATCCTGTTCCATTGATCTTTCTGTTTTTGTGCCACTACCATACTGTCTTGATTACTGTAGCTTTGTAGTATAGTCTGAAGTCAGGGAGCCTGATTCCTCCAGCTCCTTTTTTCGTTCTCAAGATTGCTTTGGCTATTCGGGGTCTTTTGTGTTTCCATACAAATCGTGAAATTTTTTGTTCTAGTTCTGTGAAAAATGCCAGTGGTAGTTTGATAGGGATTGCATTGAATCTGTAGATTGCTTTGGGTAGTAGAGTCATTTTCACAATGTTGATTCTTCCAATCCAAGAACATGGTATATCTCTCCATCTATTTGTATCATCTTTAATTTCTTTCTTGAGTGTCTTATAATTTCCTGCATACAGGTCTTTTGTCTCCTTAGGTAGGTTTATTCCTAGATACTTTATTCTTTTTGTTGCAATGGTAAATGGGAGTGTTTTCTTGAGTTC